GCCAGCTCTGTGTGCCCACAGAGAGGGCTCTGCATGCCATCTCTGACACACATGCCATAGGTTCACCATCAAGGACCTAGTTGAAAGCTGGTTTGGGTGTGGTCAACACACCAGTCTAGAAACTGGCAATCATGGGTTCTAGTCCCGCCTTAGGTATGAAAACTGGCTGTGTTATTTTCATCCAGTCACTCTCTCTCAGCCAAAACCAGTTCACCGGCCTCTTGTTGTGGGGAAAATAGGAAGAAAAAGGAGTATTAGGTATCTTTGCTGCTTGAGTTATTTATAAAAGCAATAAAGGTGGAAAAAATCTAATAATAATAAAAAATAATTTTCTGTTTAGCATCCTAATATGGAATTGTGCAGCACCACCAGACCTGTCAAATCTTGATAGACCAATATCCTTCACAGCATTCTTTGTAACTATAATTCAACTATAATTGTAAATGTTATTACTTCATTACATTAATAATTTTAGATATTTTTACTTGGTTGCCATTTTAGATATTTTTACTTTTTTGCCATTTTAGATATTTTATTTTTAATATAATTAGGGTTTATATTACAATTTAATATAGATTGTATCCTTAATCTCATTTATAGATGTTACTTAGGTTGTTTTACAAATGCATTTTAACTGTCTTAATTTTTTACTTTGTTTATTGTCAGTAGTGGTCTATGGCTACAATAAATTGAATTAGAGGGTAACTCTAAAGGGAAGATTCTTATCACAGGTAAAATAGCTTTTGTGAGGATTCTGACTTGAGGCTCATAGATTTCAGGTTATTTTGGCCAGTGCCTAAAGCAGAAATATTTTTTTCTCACAAAGCAAGATATATTCAAAAGAAAGGATAAAGACCAATTTATCTCAAAGTATATTAGGGTGGAAACTACTTTGTAACTGAATTGGAAAGCTGACAGGTCTTTTCATGGATAATGGAAGTTTCTGGAGTTTGTTGTTTGTAAAATGGTGTCAAATCTTTATTAGTCAGGGAGTCAGTTATTATCTCCATGAGCCTCAAACTGTTTATCAGAAACTTGATCTAGTTTCATAGCCAGAAGCATAGTATTCTCATAATCCATCTACTGATCTGACTCTTTCTAACCCAGGCTATAATCTTGATTTTAAAAATAATAATAATGATAATTCTTATAAATAATAATTAAATAATAATAATATTCCTTCCTTCTTTCTCTTTCTTTTTTTCTTTTCCTTTCTTTCTCATTTTTTTACTCCTCTCTATTCTTTTATTTGTTAACTTTATTTTGTATTAGATTAGATTGTTGCATTCAAAATTCGTAATAATATACATATATGCATTTAGTTGAGCAGCAGGCATGTTAGAATTTGGAGATGTGGCTTTGGAGGTGGGAGATGAGGTAGTGATGCTGGTGTAATTCTCAACATGTGCATCATAAAATGTGTACTGTCCCAGTACACATTTGTCCTGGACATTGAGATACTAGTATGAAAAGATAATTTTATCCTTTATCTTTCTCCTTCCCACCTTCCCCAGCATTAGAACCTTTCCTAGGGAACTATATATTTGCATAAAGTGTCCAAAATAGGATAGTTTGAGTGTGGTGATTTGTGCCTGAAGTAAGAAGTCTGGGGCAATTATGCAGTGATTTGTTTATTTGTATTCTTGGTTGTTCATGATATTCTCTGGAATCTTCTGTAGTGCAAAAGTTCAGAAATGTCAACATCCTTCCTGTCTTGCTTCTTCAAACTTCACATTTTGCTTCTCTATGAATACCATGCCTTTCATGATTCTGAGCTTTGTAGCTATAGACCTACCATGATATTTCCAAGACCTCTACTAAGTGCTAGTCTGCAGCATATTCCTTGACTGCTTTTCCTTTAGTGTTCATGGTTGATTTGGAAAGGCAGAAGTTGCCTACTACCACAATATCTTCATTCAATTCTAAGTTCAACTGAATTAAAATCCAGAAAGAAAAGGCTTTGATCATATACTTTATTCAGGGGAATTTGCTAGAGAAAAAGAAAGAAAATCCCAAAGAAGCCTCTACTGTATTTATTACCTATTGGAAAAATATTAATTTGCCGCTCTGGTGAAATTTACAGTATCAGTATCCTCTCTTAGAATTATTGTTTTATTACTATCCTAATTACCTACTGTCTCCTGGTACTGCCATGTCCATTATTCAGACTTTTTGTCTTTCTAATTGACAATTGTTAAGTCTGGGGTGTTATGTGGTAGGCATTATTATTATTTTAAAGGAAACCAGCATGCTGTAAATAAAAGTACAGGTTTAACTATATTTTAAGAAAGCTTCTAGGCACATAAATTAAAAGGTATTATGACTTCATCCTAGGCCTTTTTTTTTTTAAAAAAAAAAAGTGCAATTATTGAGAAAAAGGGGAAAAAAACACCAATGTGGTACAAGGTTAAGGAAATGTGCTGGGCCATCAGGATTATTTCATTCACAAATTAGTATGTCTTATCTCAAGAAGGCTGAAAGAGTAGACAACTTTTCCAGTCACCTTCTGTTAATTGATATTTTTTTAAAAAATTGTTTTGACCAGCAGCAATGCTTATCATAGGGTCAATTCCATGCATTGTGACTTCTACATTGCATAACCATTTGTCATATGTAAAATAAAATTCAGTTTTGAGCCCTTTGCTAAGCATGGAAAAGAGGGCTGTGAAAATACCTAGAGTCCCCTCACATCCGGACATAATTTCTTTCGACCTCTATCCTCAAAACAACGCTATAGGGCACTGCACACCAGAACAACTAGACACAAGGACAGTTTTTTTCTTGAATCCCATCACTCTGCTTAACAACTAATTCCCACAACACTGTCATTAATTTACTAAGAATGTATTACTATTATTCTTCTCTTCCTTCTTAGTATCTATCTCTCCCCACTTACGACTATAACCATTTTGCTTGTCTCTTTCAATTTATATTGTTTTTATTTGTTCCCTAGTATGGTTTGATAGCTTTTTAGTAACCTTGACTGTCGCTAAGTGTTGTATTTTTTTATTCTTGATTAACGTATTATTCTCCTTATGTATCCTGAGAGCATATGCACCAAAGACAAATTCCTTGTGTGTCCAATCACACTTGGCCAATAAAGAATTTTTTTCTCTTCTCTTTGCTTCTTTTCTCTTCTCCTCTCAGGCATGCTTTAATTAAACTATTGCCCTTCTTATTCCTCAATTAACCTTCAACTCCATGTTCAAGGAAAACATTCCCTGATTCAAGCCTATTCAGTTTATTGATTTATTACTCTAAATCAATAAGCATTTGGAATTTTCTTCCAATTGTGCATTCATTTTTGGGGGAAAATGGTAAAGTTAATGATATTTCCAGTCATAATGTCATTGCATCTTCCAAGGTATTGTAGTTTGATGATTGAAGTGTAAGCCATACTTCTGTCTGGATAATTTTTGGCTATAGCTATCATGACAATTGTCAACCCTGAAGTTGGCCAAACTGTGGCCATTTTCCTTTTTGTAGTTCTCTAGGGAGGTTTCTTTTCTCATTGCATATGTAAATATATATACAAAAATATATGCAAAATCTCCATTCCCACCCCACTCTGGGACCAGTCAGAGGTGGTATTTGCCTGTTCTCCAAACTACTCAAAATTTCTGCTACCGGTTCTCCAGAACCTGTCAGAATCTGCTGAATTTCACCCCTGGATGTTGGCGCAGGTGTTCGAAAGGTGGAGACAGGTCATCCATCAACTGGACTGCATGCTGATTGGACCATGTGACTGAAGATTCTGGGGAAAAGTGACAAAAATTACTTTTAATTGGGTGAAAAACTAGGGTACACTTAGAGCCGATTTTTTACCAGGATCATGCCAATTTGATATGCCCCAATAAAATGTTCTTTGAGGAATTTGTCTGCCTCGGAGTTTTTATTACGTGGGATGGGTTACTTGGAACCATAACAACAACACTGTTTGAAGATCCTTAATTCTTCAGATAAACTTCCTAAAAAAGGAATAGATCTACACTAAGAACTGTTAGGTCCAAATATGGAATCCCTGTTCAAGGATGGAAATTTATTCCACCTGGAATTTAAGGTTCATAAAAATCTAATGCACCTATCACAGATAAAGTACAAGAAGATTTATCAAGTGTTTATTGAAAATGTGAAATCACCTTAACACCCCCCTCAGGTATGATATAAATACAAATTGATTCATTTCTTTTATGCACACAGAGTTATATCAAAGAAAGTTTAATCTTCAAATGAAAGTCATTATATGAAATGTTTTAAAAATAAAATAGCATTGATTTATTTGTTATAGTAATTGCAGAAATTAAAAGTCGATATTGCTTTTGTATAATATAGTATCAAATTATATCTGCTTTTTATTATTTGAGCATTAATATCTTTCACTGGTTTGTACATAAATAAATGTAGATACAATTAAATGGGAATATAGCTAAAAAAATGTAACTGATTATTAATGCATGATATAATTCTTGCCACTAGCACTTTCTTTTATTTCATGTTATTAAAATGGTAATAATTCCACATTTAAATCATGGTATTGGCCTAAAATGAGCATTGCATTTCCGGAAACCTCATGATAGCATGGACAAAATACTGTCCATTTCTTCCATGAATTTTCTCTTAGAGGAATGACTCATTTATCTAACTAAAATAGAAAAGTCTTAAGAAATCAACTTCTATATAATACAAAAGCCCAGATTGTACAGGGGTACAATGCAATATTGCACTCCACAGTCTAGAGTTTGATCCTGATGGGCTCGAGGTTGACTCAGCTTTCCATCCTTCCTAAGTTGGTAAAATGAGGACCCAGATAGTTGGAGGCAATACGCTGATTCTGTAAATCACTTAGACAGTACCATACAGTATTATGAAGCAGTATATAAGTCTAAGTGCTAGTGCTATACAATACACCACGTTATAGAATCTGTCTGAGCATTTGTTTGATTGATAAAGAAACTTGTAAGTCGTTTTAAGTAAATTTGGATTTTTTCCCTTTATTCTAGGTTATTCAAATTAATTTTGAAGAATTTGACCTGGAAATTGGCTATGATACACTAACAATTGGGGATGGAGGTGAAGTAGGTGATCCTAGAACTGTGCTCCAAGTGTAAGTCTCCATAATCTCTCTCCTGATGAAATAATGGTTTGTTCACATCTCACCAAAGGCTAACAAAGAGTAGTTAATTTAAATGTTAATATATTTTCACAATCATATGAGAATGTATAGCAAAACAAAATAAGTTAAAGGTGAAATAAAAGAGATCACATTATCTTTCTGTTGGTGGTGGATCCTAACATCATTCGTTTTATTATGATCATGTGAGCAGAGAGCAGGGAAGCAATGTACTATAATTATAAAATATTTTACAGGCATATGCATGTACTATTCCTCAATTTTAAGATGACAAAATACATAAAATAACACTATAATCTCTGGGGCCCTTGGTCATCTCTGAGGTTGATTGCAGACATTTCATTACCCAACTAAGTAACATCATCAGTGCTAGTGCAATCTCTCTATCCTACGAAATTCAACTACAAACCATATTGCAAAATGCTTAAGAGATCAATACACCTTAAGTTAGCTATACATTATCTTGGAGAACATCCTGAATTAGTTATATAGAGTCTAGGACAAGGGTTATCCACCACAGTTTCTTTGACATTATTTTAATATTTGTCATTCACACTTAATTTGTCCTTCCTTTGGCACCTATTCTTTAATGATTCTATTCCATGACATTTTAACCCATTTTGACCACTGTAGAAAATTGTACTTCCTCTAACAAAGTTTAACCAATACACACCAATCCTGGATTTTACATAGTAAAAAAATAGATGATATTTTGCTTTCTGGAGCTGTTATCTGATCTTATCACTTGGACCGTAACATCTGACAGCATAATATTACTGGGACAACAATCCTATTCCCATAAAATTATAGTGTATGGACTTGAATATTGATTTGTAAAAAATAAATATTTTAAATCTTAGGATAATATAAAATAGGGGTGTCAAACTGATGCCCCGTGGGCCAAATGCATCATGTGCAGGCCACACCCACCCCAGCTCCATGAATGGGAATATTGCGACACATTACATGATGGCAATGTGACGCCATGATTTTGACACGCGTGATATAAAATAACTTATTTGAGCTATAAATTGCTGGGATAGAAGCCAGAATCTTATAAGAACAATTTCATATGAAGAGTGAGTGCACCCCAGCTCCCATCAATTAAGCAGTGTCATCTTTCAGGATCGATAAAGCATGCCTTCTCTACCGCAGCACCAGTTTTTTGGAATGATGTCCACTAGGGATTCATATGTGACATTAGTGAAACTGTTAAAAATCTGGCTATTTTCCCAGGCCTAGGGATATATAAAGTGGGCCCTTTCATTCTTTTTTTCTACTCCTTCTGCTGAAGCTTGCTTTTCTATTTAGCTAGGGCTCTTTTTTCCCCCTCTTTTATTTCCATTTCAGTATGGGTTTTTTTTTTCCTGCTTTATTTGTAAACCTGGTCAGAGTTGTCAAGAACTTGGTCAGCCTCTAAGTTTGGAAATAAAATAAAATAAAATAAACATTTTCATAATATAATAATAATTTGTGTTCAGTTTTCTAAAGAATCTTCTTTTCACTAGGTAGGCACCACTGGTGGGTTGATAACTGGTTTACTACCAGTTCGCTCGCTTGTGTGTGCACAGTGCTTCTGCGCATGGGCAGAGCCTCCCGCCACCGCCACTATCAGTTCATCCAAACCGGATCGAACCAGCAGTAACTCACTCAAAATATCTGATATGCACAGATACTCTTTAAAAATGCACATTATTCTTCTACAATTATGTCCATTGTCCACTGTTCTGTGTTCCAAACTCTTATCTACTTTGTTATAATTGTTTTTGTTAAATGCAAAGAAGAATTATAATCTTTCCCTACCCATCTCTTATAAATGTACTACATATATATTAATTAATAAGAATAGTTCATTCCTATTTATCACTTTCATGCAGGGGACTGAAGGCAAAAATGTGGCTTTTACAGGCTCGTGCCTCAGTGTGCATATTTTCTGATGAGACAAACTGAGACAGAAAGATCATTTTATCACAATTTATCAGAATATTCAGACAAAAGGGATTCCTCACTCAAAGAGGGAACCCCGATCTTTAGTTTACATCCCCCTTTATAGTCCACATAACAAGGAAATCTGTAAAAGGAAAGTTGATAACAGCAGACATGTTTACTAAAATGAGGTCTGAAGTCTGAAGGGGAATAAATTATAAGGAGAAAGGTTGTTTCACAAAAGAGATAAGTCAGACCCCAATTTATACTAACAAATGTTCTTATCTGGAGCTAGTCTTCAGCTGGTTTATCAGTTTAGGAATGTTAAAAGCTAATAAATCTGAACATCACTTTAAAAGAGAGAATATAAATCAGATTAAAATGCAAAGTAACTATGTTAGTTAACAAATAACAAAACCCATGTCTTCTGCCTCTCAGGACACCCATATCTCATTTTGCCAAGACCTGGGAATCACAGAAAGCAGAGCCAGATTAGCTTTGAGAATCCAAAGTTCACATAGGTGAAAGATCATATTGAGGCCTTATCTATTTCTGTCACACCAGTCAAAATTCATGGATTTTCTGGAATTTCCCTATAGCTTGTAATAAGCCTGAACAAGAATAGGTTTACAGGAAATCAAGACTTATTCTAATTTCTACACTTCATTCAGTGAGTTGATCTGAGTGGTGTGGTATCTGAGAGGCAGAAGTCTGTGAGGTCAGGAGACTATGAGTTCGATCCTAGGTAGCGTCAGATATTTTTCTCTCTGGGCGCAAACAGAGAATATTTGCTGTGAACTCTGCATAGGCATCAGGAAGAGCATCCAGCCAATAAACAATCAGGTTCATTGAATTGCCCTGGGTCCATCCGATGCAAGGAATTAAAAGGTCACTAAAAGAAAAATAGAGACATAGTATCTCAGTGGCTAAGATGATAAGCTTGTCAATCAGAAAGGTCAGCAGTTCAGTAAGCAATTTTATAATACAAAATAGCCAAATGTGTTTCCAGTACAAATTTAAGCCATGTAACAGAGACAGCTCACATTATTTGGCCCAGCTTCTGCCAACCTAGCAATTTGAAAGCATGTAAAAATGCAAGTAGAAAAATAGGAACCACCTTTGGTGGGACGGTAACAGCGTTCTGTGTGCCTTTGGCATCTAGTCATGTCAACCACATAACCACGGAATTGTCATCAGGTAACACTGGCTTTTCAGCTTAGAAACAGAGATGAGCACTGCCCCCTAGAGTCGGGAACGACTAGCATGTACAGTAGTGGCCAAAATTGTGGAAACCTTTTGGGAAAAGTATACAGTATTTTTGAGGTTTGATGGCTAATAACACCACTTTTGGGGAGAGCAGTAACATAAAGTTATATATCCTCTGTCCAGGTATCATAGGTTTTAGCCCACTTTAGTCTTTTCAACCTTTTTGAGAGATAAAAGTGGTTTAAGTAAGGCAGATTCCTGCAGTCTGTGCCAAACAGTCCTTGACCTCAACTTCGCATTGCATTGTGCCATTTCATCTTGTATACACCCAGATTTTCTTCTGCCAGTCTCTTTAATTGTTCTATAATCACTTGCTGTTGTTCACCTTTTCCTGCCTTTACCAATGTGGCTTTGTAGTGACTGAGTCTCCTTATACCTCTTCAAAAACCTAGAAATGCCACCTTTGGTTAAATTTCCACAAATTTTCTTTTAATTTCTTTATTACTGTAGCCTTGTTCACTTAATAATACTATTTTACATCGCTTTCCGGGTGACCAGTCAACTCTTTGCACCATTACTTTAATTTTATTATGTTTTACAAGCTCACTAAATGAAAGAACACAAAAAAACCCAACCAACTTGATAGTGATCACATAACACACTGACAATTGTCCTCCTCCTCTCAGCTTCAAAACATGATATCAATAACTGAATCATACTATGTTATCTGATTGGCTCATTGCCAAAGCAAGATGACACCTGATTGGCTCTCTAAACAATCGTGCTCATTGGCTGTAATCAGATGAGGGAAAG